TCTCTCTCAAATTAATCAATAAAACTTGTTTATAAAATCTGAGAATTAAGAAATAGTTTTTTTAACCATGTATGGTGCCTGGTGGGTACTAGATTTATCAGGGGATCACCTCATAAATTACATAAATGTCTAACCACAATGCTGTACACCTGAAACAAATATTATATTGAATGTCAACTGTAATTTAAAAAATATTTTTAATAAAAACTCTAAGAATAAATAAAATTTATTTATATCAAAATAGGGTCCTTTTGTACAAGTGGATGAACTGATGGAAATTTTCCGAAGATGCAAGATACCCAATAGTAAGTCATGAAAACTCCACTTCATAGAGTGGAATTCACATTGTTGTCTCCTATGCAGGAGAGATTGTTAATCTTTGCCACTTAAGTTTCCAAAACCAGCTAGCCATCTCATAGAAGTACAAAGAAACGGAGTGACCCTTGGCACAGAGACTTCTTCATATTCTAGTTTCACTAAGTAACATGTCATAAAAGCTTATCTTTTCTATTCATGTGAACAGGCACTATTAGACTTCGCCTATGAAAAGTTTTATTGAAGTTAGCAGCTTTTGTCTTTTCCCTTAATTATTGTTAGTACTATACCATGCTTTGCTAATACTAGGCTATGAAATTAACTACAAAGTAGCCAAAGTAGTACATACATACTCCTTCACAGCAGTGTGATCTGCAACATCTTTCAAACGCCCTTTTTGTTTTATTTCATCAGCTGTTGAGGAAGCTGTGCGGCTCATTACTGGCGGAGCCCCAGAGCTCGCTGTGGAAGGCAATGGCCCGGTGGAAAGTAATGCAGTACTCACCAAGGCCGTCAAAAGGCCCAACGAGGATTCAGATGACGACGAGGAAAAGGGAGCCGTCGTCCCTCCTGTTCATGACATTTATAGAGCACGGCAGCAGAAGCGAATTCGGTGAAACAGGCTCAAAACCTGCCTCTAGAAGAAAACTTTTATCCAGGATTCCCTTTTTGCCTCCTACGTCATATGTTTAAGAGACAATGCTTTGTTACAAGGTTCTTGGAAACAAAGTTGTATTGTCATTGGTGCCTCTATCATATGGTTCTTGAGAAAGAAAACCAACCAACCTGTGTGAATTTTACAATATGGAACTGAGAACAGTGCAAAATGGCAGAACCACATTTTGTTCCCTCTTCAAGGGTGTCTTGTATGTGCCACTTGAAGATTTTGTGAGTTTTCAATAGTTTTATTTTAAAACTGGATGGCTTATGATTGTAAAGCTTTTATCACATTTTTCTGAAAACATTGTTCTCAGTTTGCTTATGTAGAGTACTGCCTTATTGTTTGTTTTATTTATGGCAGAATGTATGGAATCTGTTTTGTAGTTTAAAATTTTAAAACAATCCTTTAAAAAATAAAAGGATCTAAAAAAAAATAAGTCTTGTCTCCTTCTGCTGCTTTCATTCAGAATTTGTTTAAAATAGCTCCTTATGTTATTTAGCCAATACCATCAACATTACAAGGAAGGGTCATTTGTTATTTACTGTGTGTATACTTAACTGCATGTCCGCCCTAATCTTTTTTTGGTACTAACTGAAAACATGAGGGATCCATTTTTTTAATATGTATTTTTATTGATTTCAGAGAGCAAGGGAGAGAGAGACAGAAACATCAGTGATGAGAGAGAATCATTGGTCAGCTGCCTCCTGCATACCCCCGACTGGGGATCAAGCCCACAACCTGGACATGTGCCCTTGACTGGAATTGAACACAGGACCCTTTAGTCTGCAGGCCAATGCTCTAGCTACTGAGCCAAACCTGCTAGGGCCCTTAGTGATAAGAGATCCCAGGAAAAAAACTGGCTCACTTACCTTCAAAGAGCAACAACAAAACAATTCAATGTGAATATTGTGCTTCTGAACTTTACCGCCTTCACTCTTGGCTTTCGCCACTTGCGGAAGGAACTCCATCAGTGGAAGGAGTGGGGGGGTGGTCATGAGAGTCTGTGAGGCATGACAATTTCAAACAAACTTAACTTTGTCAATTTAGGAACTCATAAGGGAAAAAATAATACTGTAAGAGTTAATTCTTACAAAAGAAGGCAAAAGAATTCTTGAGGTTTAGGAAGACTAACTACAGGAAGTGTATTTGGGGGTAAAGCTCCTCTCCTTCACCCTTGGAGAGGGAGGGAGAAAAGCCCCAATACTCTGGGCTGAGGTTGGCAAAGGAGTGCTGCCCCTGGGGGCTCAGGCTTGGAGCTACTATCATATAGCACAGCGGCCACAGAGCAACCTTAACCATAGGACCAATCCCAGAAGTGACATCACTGAACACACTAGAAAAATTGAATTTTGATTTTTTAGTTCTACTTTCTTAACTTTTATCACTTGCCAAAAAAACTAGGGAAGATTTGTCCTTTAGTCTAAACTTTAATAATATGACTTCTGGCCACAGAATATAGCATGCATCTCTGACGACAACAAAAAATACATAAACGTGTAGCATGTACTTGGAGAAATTGCATTCTTCCCAATATAATCAACCCTTCCCTCCTCTGAAGCCTGGTGTACGTCTACAGGGTCAATGTTCATCTGGCTGCTTCCAACTCCGTCCCTCCAGCCTACCCTTTTTTGCTTTGTTTCAAGGTATCTTTTAATTTCTTCCTTGACCTTATTGTTAATCCATTCCTCGTTTAGTAACCTGTTATTTAGCCTCCATGTCTCTGTGTGTTTTTCAGGTTGTTTTTTGTGTATGATTGATTTCTAGTTTCATACCACTATGGTCAGAGAAGATGGTTGATATGATTTCAATCATCTTAATTTTATTGAGACGTTTTATGTCCCAACATATGATCTATCCTAGGAAATGTTCCATATACACTTGAATGTATATTCTGCTGCTTTGGAGTGAAATGCTCTAAAGATATCAATTAAATCCATCTGATCGAGTGTGTCATTTAAGGCTGCTGTTCTCTTATTGATTTTGATGTCAATGGGGTGTTAAACCCCCTGCTATGACTGTATTACTGTTAATCCCTCCCTTTAGGTCCATCAAGATGTACTTGACATATTCAGGTGCTCCTCTATTGGGTGCATAAATGTTTACCAGGGTTACATGCTCTTGTTGGATTGCTCCTTTATTATTATTATTATTATTATTATTATTATTATTATTATTATGTAGTGTACTTCTTTGTTTCTTACAGCCTTTGTTTTAATGTCTGTTTTGTCAAAAATAAGTATGGCTGCCCCAGCTTTTTCTTTCATTTCCGTTTCCATGAAATATAGTGTTCCATCCTTTACTTTTAGTCTCTGTGTCTCATGTTCCGAGGTCGGCCTCTTCTAGACATTGTATATATGGGTCTTGTTTTCTTATCCATTCAGCTCCCTCATGTCTTTTGATTGAAGTATTGAAGCCATTTACATTTAAAATAATTATTGATAGGTATGTATTTATTGTCACTTTATTTTTTAAACTATATTCCTCTTTCCTCTTCCTCTTCTTATTCTTCTTAAAGTAGGCCTTTTAAGATTTCTTGGATCTTTAAGAGGGTGCCTGTGGCCCTTCCATGTAGCTCAGTTGGCTAGAGCATTGTCCTGATATGCCCATGTTGCAGGTTTGCTTCTGGGTCAGGGAACATACAAGAAGCAATCAATGAATGCATAACTAAGTGGAACAACAAATCGATATTCCTCTCAAATCAGTAAATAAAAATTAATTAAAAATAATTAAAAATAAATAAGTTGGTGCTTGGTCTTCAGTGGACGTTTGTCTTTCCCTGGCAGACACAAACCTCACTGCTTTTCACAGCCAGATGTTATATGAGTTCCTATTCCAGGCCTAGTGCCCTAGGCTTAGAACCCCCACAGCTGAGAGATACTTCTGGGACCTCAGCAGCTGTCCGCTGGAGTGGGGCCAATGCTTTCGGATCTCCGCCTTTCCTACTAGTTTCAAAGTGGCTTCTGTAAATCCTTGGTTATAAGACTTCTCCTCAGTTAGTCTTCAGTTGTTTATTCGGGATGATTGTTCTATATTTCAGTTGTAATTCGTTTGGTCCTTGGAAGAGGTGACTGTAGCTTCCACCTACTCCACCACCACTTTGGATCTCTGTCCTCATTGCCTTTACTAAAGGGATTCCTTGCATTATTTCATCCCTTGCTGTTCTGACAGCTAGAGGCCACTCCAAAAACTTCATGGCTCTGCTAATACAATGTCTGTCTGAAATACACATGCACATTTTATATTTTTTAATAGAGCAGGTAGTCTATGAGACCAAAACTCCTCTTTCAGTTACAAGATAATGTTGGTAATTCTGGTCACTGAAGTTCCTCAAAAAATAGTGCTCAACACCCAGATATTTTTCTATGACTTTCTTATCAAAGAAATAGTGAGTTCACACTATTTTATCTGAAATTCTAATCCAATCAATACAACAGTTAATTGTATGACAGTGAATTTTTCAGTGAAAACTCCAGACATTTATCTCTTTTTATATTACTATATTTTAAATATATATAATTTCCTCCTCAACTCTCCAAAGTTTAAGAGTCAAAGAACTTCCTCTCTGTAGATCCCATAAATCATGTAACTGCTATCATCCAGGCTCAGGAATAATCTATAATAATAAAAGGGTAATATGCTAATTAGACCAGACAGCTGGACATCCTTCCAGATGAAGCCAGGGCTGCGAGGGCCGAGCCCCTTGCACCATTTTCATGCATCGGGCCTCTAGTTTTGTATAAAAGAATAAGGTATTTAAAATCAATTAGCTCTCCTCTAGAACAAATGGGTTCTGGGGCTCTGGCTGAAACAGGCAGGGGAAAAGCAGTAAATAGGGTCAGTGTCAGGGTGGGGGATGGGGGTGAACAATAAGACTATAGCCCTTTTATTTTTTAACGTATTCTTATTGATTTCAGAGAGGAGAGGGGAGAGAGACAGAAACATGAATGATGAGAGAGAATCATTGATTGGCTGCCTCCTGCACGCATGCCCCACACTGGGGATCAAGCCCACAACCTGGGCATGTGCCCCAACGAGGAATCGAACCATGATCTTCTGGTTCATAGGTCAATGCTCAACCACTGAGCCACACCAGCTGGGTTATCTATGGCCTTTTAACACAAAATACCTGGAGGGAGAAGGGGTTCGAGGCTGTGCCAGACGGGCAAAAGTCTAGACAAGGACATGGCTTATGCTCTTTCATTCTTGGGTGTCTGAAAGAAAAATTACCCGGTAACAGAAGAGAAGTCCCAGCTTTCTGGGAGAGACAGCTACAGTCTTGAGAGAGTGGGGGTGGAGACACATGGCAGTCAACCACTCCAAAGTTGAGTGCTTCCTGTGAAACTCAAGATAACAAATGCTTTCTTGATTTATAAACTTGCACTTATACATACAAACCCTCAAAATAGAATTCAGTGCATTTTTCAACAAGTCCTTTCTTTCTTTTTTTTTTTCAACAAGTCTTTTCAATAGTGATACACAATAAATATATTTTTCCTTTTGGAATCAATGCTATTAAATAGAAATGTACTAAAGAGCCATTTTCCAAAGCAACATTAGAGTTGAGAACAGGCAATCTGAGCAGAGTAGATAATATTGCTGCTATTGGGAGCACACGTGTTAGGATCTAACAAGGATCTTACTGAGGACTGCATCATAGTAGGGACTGAAGACCATCTTGTTATAGTTGACCAGACGAACAAATTTAATAGCAACTTCCTCCAGCTCTTTGTGGACTGGACCCAATCCCCCAGGTATTGTGGGCAATGCCTTCTCATGGCCTGAGGCAAGGTAGGTTTCTAAGAAGGTCAGGATTCGGGAATCTGTGATAGAAAAGAATGCAATTAGTTGTTTCTTGTCCAGGGTGACTTTATAAACATGATTATGCTTCCATTTTTAACTTAAACATCACCTTTTTAGGAAAGTCTTTCCTGACCACCTCCCAGATCAGGTACCTAGAACCCCTTGCACTCTGAAGAACCATCACATTTGCATTGTTTCCTCTCCCCCTCTAGATGGTTAGTTTCATGAAGGTAGGACTCATGCTTATTGTGTTCTTCTCTCCCAAGCATCCAGCACAGTCCCTGGCATGAAACCTGGCCCCTCTAAAAGCTCAAAATACATTTGGAAAGCAAGAACAAATGTATGGATAAATACTGGGAAACCAGAGCATTAACAGGTTCTGCTCTCAGGGGAGCAAGTCATACTGCGACCAACATGAGCCATGGTTGAAGATCACATAAAAAAGTGGGAGGAAAAATAAAGCAGGAATCACAAGTTCAAAAGCAAAAAGAAGATTCCAGCACTGATGGCTTGTGATCTGTCTTTTCCCACTAAGTCCGTATGAAAGAAGCATGAACTTCCTTCTTCAATGCCGGCGATGGGAGGCCATGGAGTTGGTGGCATTTGTGAAGTTGTCCTACTCTGAGGAGTAATTTAGGTTGATGCTGTTTTAGCCCATTCCCTTCTACAATGCTTCTGCACTTTCCTGTGTGCCCTCATTGGCCAAAAAATTGTGAATATAAGCCATATTTCTTACAGATTTTATTACAAAAGCAATAGGAAAATTTATATTGAATGGGCTTTTCCACACTACTTGCCCACACCCTGCCCTGGGGAACCCTCTCAGGAATAAATGACTTACACCCTTCAGAACCCAAAAACACAGAGAAACTGCTAACTGATCACCAAAGTTAGTTTGGTTTTCTAAGGTTCCCGGAGCTGGAAGCCTCACCCAGAGTGGAGATCCTGTGTCATTCCTTTGTGAGGGCAGGTTGCTATCTCCATGTCTATAACTGGCTGTTCCTAAAAACCAGGATGCCAGGACAAGGACAGCTCTATTTACAGGCACTTTCCTGCTTCTCAATAATGTTAATCCTGATGGTCAGAGGGCATGGCAATATCTTCAGGAGGCTGCTCCGGAGTGATGCACAGGTGACATTGTGACCATTGCAGGACTGGGACAAAATATTTTTTTCAAAACCACTGATCCACGTACCTCTTTTTTCATAAGTATGAAAAAAGTAAAAAAATACTCTTTTACTAAGAATAAAAAAAAAAATCATAGCATTAGAAGCAGACCCACCACTGGTCCACCCTTCTATCCAACCTGATACCTAATAGCCATGAATCATTCAGCTTTTGCTGGAGCAGGACTTTTTTTAAAAAAAAAAAATGTTTTTATTGATTTCAGAGAGGAGAGGAGAGAGAAAGATGAATGATGAGAGAGAATCACGCTCCACAACCCGGGCATGTGCCCTGACCGGGAATCGAACCGCAATCTCCTGGTCCAACCGCTCAACCACTGAACCATGCTGGCAGGGCTGGAGCAGGCTTTTGGATCAAGGGCTGTAATTTCAAACTCAAACCCTTCAAAACAATGATGGCTGTCTGGTCATTTGCCCAAACCTTTGGGTCACCCTAATGGCAAGTGGTGATCCCTGCTTCCTGCCTTCCCCCAAAACGTACCCATGATCCTGCGGATGGGGTTGTCAGGACTGGCCACCGCCTGGATCTGGCCCTTGAGCACGATCTCCTTGTCCGTGGTAAAGGGGGTGAACCCACACAGGGAAAGGCAGCTGCTCACCTCCAAGCAGACTTTCTCACCAATGGTTGTCAGGGCATCCTTCAGATGGAAGGAGCTTGAGTAGAAAAGGGAAAGGAGAAGCCAGGGAAGAAAGAACCTATAAACAAGGTGCACCTGATAAAAATCATACAACCAAGGTGTGGACTGATGTGTCCCAAGGAAACATCTGTGACTCTCTTCGCTGCCCATAATCTCTCCCTTCTGCATTCTCTCCCTTCCTCTCTCTTTCCTCCCAACCCCAGAAAGGACAGTGGGAAGGGGAGAACTCAGATAACGTCAGGACCAACAACTCAAAACCCAACTTCTTGCTAGCAGGTGTGGTAAAATAAGCCTGGAGCTGACATAAGAATATCTTGAATAACTCTGGAACAATACATAAGACATCAGAAATTCGGTAGCAATGGGACAGAAGTGGGAGAGAAACTTTTCATTCAATACACCTTTTCCCTTTTAATTTTCAAAAGACGTGAGTACTTTAAAAGAATGAGTAAAACTGAAATCTAAAGGTTAAGAAAATTAATATATGGATTTCTTGGGGCCCGAGGTCTGCTGGGAACCCTCCCAGCAGCTGGGTATTCTGGGAGGTATTCTGCTGGTCTGCTGGCGGGTATTCTGTGAGAAGGCAATTAATTGCCTTTGTTGGGGGTCTAGATTCTTTAAACGGCAGAATTAGTGGGCGCAAATGTGCAAGCCCTGCACTCACTGCTGGCACCAGCTCTGACTGCCAGGGTGAATATGGCCATGCAGGGCTGGACTCCTAAGGACTCGCTGAACAGGGCCCCTCTCATCAGTAACTGACAGAGCAGTGTTACTGGAGGGGAACCTTGGGGACAGCTCAGGGTTACACCTGCACAAGAGCCCCAGGCTAGGCCTCAGCTCAGCAAACACCCCCCCTTCCCTATTGAACCCCTAGTCACAACATGTGGACGTGCCCCTCACTGCACCAAACACATGCATGCTTTATGCAAACTCAGCAGTAAAAGTCCTCCTTTTGTAAGGATGAAAATGTTTTGGGGACATGCCCCTTGAGGAATCTTCTCAATTAGACCTTGTCAGACCTTGCTTACTTAGAACCATTCTAAATTTTCCATGTGCCATAAACCACATAAATGGCCTACTCTGACTTCACTGTAAGAGCAGTTACAGCAGCTGCCCTTAAAAGTTGGATTAGCCCTGGCTGGTTTGGCTCAGTGGATAGAGCGTCGGCATGCAGACTGAAGGGCCTGGGTTCGATTCTAGTCAAGGGCACATGCCCAGGTTGCAGGCTCAATCTAGAGTAGGGGTGTGCAGGAGGCAGCCAATCAATGATTCTCTCTCATCATTGATATTTCTCTCTCTCTTTATCTCTCTCCCTCTCTGAAATCAATAAAAATATTTAAGAAAAAAAAGTGTGCATTAGTGCTGGTTGATAAAATAATCCAATATACCCAGCACAAAATGTCTATGAGAAATGTGCAAAGGGCAGAAAACTTTAAAAATATATTTTTATTGATTTTGAGAGAGATAGAAAGGGAGAGGGATAGATAGAAATGTAGATGAGAAACATTAATCAGCTGCCTCCTGTATGCCCTGTACTAACCCAGGCATGTACCCTGATTGGAAATCAAACTGGTGCCCTCTTCGTTCATGAGTCGATGCTCAACCACTTAGCCACACCAGCCAGGCAGCAAACAGTATTTTTATTAAAATACATTTTTATTGATTTCAGAGAGGAAGGGATAGGGAGAGAGAGATAGAAACATCAATGATGAGAGAGAATCATGGATCAACTGCCTTCTGCATGAGCCCTACTGGGGATCGAGCCTGCAACCCAGGCATGTGCCCTGGACTGGAATCAAACCCGGGACCCTTCAGTACGCAGGCCGACGCTCTATCCACAGAGCCAAACCAGCTAGGGCAGCAAACAGTATTTTTTAATGGAATAGAATAGAAATACCTGGGTGTAGTAAACATAGTTAGGGTAGATTGCAATTTTTGAAATTTTTATTTACATATGTGATGTGTCTAAATGTGTACTAGGTCACAATAGAAAATAAATTTCTTACTATGGGTCCTGGTCATAAATATGTGAAAGCCACTATCCTAGAGCCTTTCTAACATGGAGCTGATTCTAACTTTGACCATATGACTGAATAAATTCTGCTGGAGTAAAGAAAGCTGGAGAGCAAGGTCTCTCGATTCCTAGGTGGCCCTAGATCTTGCCTTACACTTGGAGACCCCAGTTCCCGCCTGCTCTCTGCTCACCCGCTGCCTCCACCCATCCATTAAAGGCCCTCTACACACAGTGGACAATGCCTTGGGAGGACCCAGGGTGTCTTTAGCCACTTACGGCAGATGCATATCTGTGAGCAGGATCTTCACGATCATCTTGAGTTTCTCAGCGAAGGTGGCCTGGCTGGAAACACCTGAGGCAGCCATGCTGAACGTGACCAGCAGCACCGCCCCCAGGACGGTCAGGTGTTCCAGCTGGAGCTGGAGCTCTTGGAAGCGGGCCTGGTCCATCAGCACTGTCTGTGATGAAAACAGAAATCACCCTTGAGCTGTAGACTCAGGCTGCCAGCAGAGGGCGGTGGGGCCACAGCCCCCACACAGCCCCCACACAGCCCTCTAAATTTTCCCTCGAGCATCGGAGTCATTGCACAGCCACACAGAAATCAAGTGTGAATTATCCTTCCATTCACACGTGGGCTAAGACTAGGAGCCCCTTCTTCCTCAGAGAGGCTGCAGTAGAGCACACCCATTAAGAACACGAGACAGCCCTAACCGGTTTGGCTCAGTGGATAGAGCATCGGCCTGCGGACTAAAGGGCCCGGGTTTGATTCTAGTCAAGGGCACATGCCCAGGTTGCGGGCTCAATCCCCAGTGGAGGGCATGTAGGAAGCAGCCGATCAATGATTCTTTCTCATCATTGAAGTTTCTCTCTCTCTCTCTCCCTCTCCCTTCCTCTCTGAAATAAAAAATACATATACTTTTAAAAATTTTAAAAAAAAAATAGAAGTTACATCATTAGATAGGAAAGGGTAATGAGGTACAGAGCACGGGTAACCAACTCATCCCAGTTTGTCCAGGGCTGTCTCGGTTTTAAAACAGAAACCCCCAATCCTGTGAACGACTGCCACGGTCAGAGTGAAACGCTCCACCTCTCCGACTCCGCGTGTGCAAGGCTGCCCAGTGCCAGGCCTCAGGCCCATAGCTCCTGTGTGTCTGGCACACAGACCTGCTGCTCCCTAGAGGAACTCTGCGGTGGCCGGAGTCCTACAAATCAGCCCCGCCCACATTCCACTGGGCTGGTGTAGAAGAGGCCCGACTCTGTACTCCCAGAAGGTAGATTTGAGGTGAGGCCTCCCATCTTCTTGGTGCCTCTTGATCGATAAACCTCCCCTTACTCTAGACTCTGAGGTTTTGAGTTTTAGTCTTTCCAAGCATTGAGCACACAGACTTTGGACCAGTAATACCACCCTCCCCCCAACACACACACACACACACACACACACACACACACACACACAACCAGTCCTGGGCAAACCAGCCATTCACTTATCTGGTACCAGAGTGAAGGGGGAGAGAAAGTCCTTGAGGGCAGAGCCTATACTTACTCACCCTCAGTACCTAGCAGAAAGGAAATGCTCAAGAATTGGTAAGTGGTTAAAGAAAGAGAAAAATAAACAGTAAACAGAAAAAGTGGGAATGACAGGTTATAACCCAAAGCCTCCTGGAAAGCAGTCAGTGGTGAATTTCCATGGCTGTGTCCTGTGTTAAAGACACCCTGGGTCCTCCCAGGGCAATGTCCCCTGCGTGGAATGAGGGAA